AGCCAGATGAATATCTGAGACTATCTTCAGGGACCAATCCAAGACTTTAACAATGACATGACTTCAGACACAAGTTTGTTCTGGTACTCGACGACGTGTTCCCGAGAAATATTGGTGTAGCAGGTGTAAATATATCACCGGTGTTTTCATCCGTATATTAATGTATGTTACTGGTTTGCAACATATAATTGATTTGCAAAATAAACAGTGGAGGTGTTAGCATGCAGCCTTGTCGATCCCTATGCTCCAATCTTCTAGAGAAGTGATGATTCAATAACACAATTTTTTGGGAAGCCCATGCGAACGAATTTTCGAAAAAAGCATTTTGTGCCAAAACCGATCGAAAGGCCCTCGATATGTCCAAACTAACAGCCAAGGTCTTACTCTAGGACTCCAATGCATCCATCATCTCAGGTACAGTAGACGATCACTAGCTGAATAACTTCATCGAAAACAGTATTGACGGGAATAATGGTTTCAATGGTTTTGGAGTACAAGGAGGTATAAATCAACTAATACGCTTGTAGTTGAACTGTTGCCATTTTTAGTTATCGGGTACACCATAGCTGTCACTCATGAATTCAGGACTACACTTACGCCTAGTAGGAGTATAGGAGTAGACGCGTTAGAACCGATGCCCACTCCGGAGCACATGTGTTCAGCACAATACGAGGATCTCCATCGCTCGACTTGTTGACGTATGGGGAGAAGTGCTTAGCGCACTGAGCACTGATTTTTTTTTAAGGAACTGGAAGCGGAATTATACTTATTAATTATACTTCTTGTCTTCTTGGTATTTGCATCCCGTGACATCGATGCGTCAGCCCGGCCCGATAGCACTCCAGCTTATGTCTTGATGCAATTTTATAGGAGCGATCAAACCATAGCTAGGATCTACCTCCGATGGGCACTACCGATGATGGAAAAAAGTCCATTCCTTGAAGTTCCACATTAGTGACAAAATTAGCAACAACGTTGGAATAATCCGAACTTTGAAATACTTCAAATTAATCAAATATTTTTCTTAAAATTACACGACTATAATGTTCAGAAACATTTTGTATGGGTGACATACAAAGAAAAATAAAATTGTGTAAGCATCAAAATAAAAGTTATTATTATATTTAATAATAACTAACCCTTGGTATATTATCTTTTACTGAGGTACTTGGAACTAATACCTGCATTAATTAAAGCTAGGTCTATCCATTTCGAAATACGCAGTTCCTTTTGACCCATGATTCTAAAATATAGATAAATATTCGTAAAATACGAGTAACTCAAACATTATCACTACAACAGAAGAATAAGTACAACTTAAATACTTACTTACTTACTTATCTTCACGCACAATCCCTAACGGGGTAGTCAGAGAGAACAGATCGCCAAGTGTCACGATCCTTACATACCTCTTTCGCTTCTTTCAGGTTCATTAACTTCTTCATACATGCACGTCTAGGTATCCGAGTACTCTTGACCTTCCCCTCTTCGAGCAATTTGCTCACATGGTCTTCGAAAGTTAGTCTCGGTCTACCTCGACACCTTTTAATATTTACTTTCGCTCTATATATTTTCTTCACCATTCGGTCTTCACTCATTCGCTCAACGTGCCCAAACCATTGGAGTACGCCCCTATCAATTTTTGTGATAAGGTCATCTTTCAATCCTGCCATATTACGAATCTCTTCGTTTCGCTTTCGATCGGCTATGGTAACGCCACACATTTTACGAAGAGATCGCATCTCCACTGCATTCAACTTGCTTTTATGCTTCTTCTGGCATACCCAGGTTTCGCTGCCATATAACAAAGTCGGTACCAACACTGCGTTATGTATGTATACAACTTAAATGAAAATAATTATCACTTCTCTTGACCAAGCGGCGAGTCACTGGGACGCGCGGTCACACCTATTCACTAACAAAAAACATTAGAAAACGGCAGGTCACTTTCATCTAAGCAACAAAATTACAGAAAGGAAAAATATCACTAAACGACATCTTTTAGTTAATCAGACCTGGTAAAAAATATCTAAATCATAAATAGCTAATATTAAGGACAGGTAAAAAGGTTAGAGGCTACAAAAAAAAATTTTTAGGAAAATAATAGCCAAATACGTTGTTAGTTTTTCGTGAGTTCGGGAAAAACTATGTTAAAACCAAAATAATTTGTACCAAAAATAGGATACAATTAAGTAGAAATACGGTATATTGAAATAGTCCTAAACGAAACATTTTTTAAAATGACGAAAATTTTCGTCGGTTGGTCGCCGAAAACTTCAAAAAATTCTCGAATTTTAAAATTACTAAGCGACATTAACTTCATCGTAGGAGCATGAAAATTCGACTTATTATTACTATTGAAACATGAAAATAGGACAAATCGACGCGGAAAAAAATCTGATTCCAATGATATAGTATGTAACTCAATATCGACCTAAGTGTCACTTGGTAATATTTTCCTTTTCAGCGTCGATATGTTTTAATGTTTTATATAATTTTTCATTCGGCACAAAAAACGACTTGACCGATTTTGCTCAAAATTTAATGAGGTCTAAGTTACATAATTATGCGTTAAATGAAACTGGTCCCATATCAATATCACTCTTTGTTCTCGAGATACACGAGGTGAAAATTGAATCCGAACATACATACATACATACACATACGTACATTTGCACACACGGACATCCTCTTAAAAACTATACTATTCGACTCTAAAGACCTTGAAACTTGCAGATATATTAAAATCTATAATTTGTAAAATCGGACCCATTACAATAACTCCCCACCGGGAAGTTAATAAATAACTTAAAAAAGTGGGATATCTTGGGACATTTCGAAATATTATGTAATATAAACCAATGAATTTCAAGTAGCCTATAAAATAACTAATTTTATACTAAGTTAAATTGTTTTTTTTAACTATTATAAAGGTTAACCGTGTAGCGGCGGTGTAAGAATATGCAATACTACCCCATATCGTCTCGTGTGTGTCGTAAGAGGCGGCAGAGGGAAACTAAAACAAAAGATGGGTATCAGCACCTTTCTACTAACGATTCAAAAGACTAATCCCTCATGCGGACTTGATAAATCTGGACGATAAGCCACTAAAACCACTTTTTATGTAAAAATAGCAATTAATCTATTAAAAAAAAGTTGTTGAACTTTTTTTTCATCATTCAATCATTTATCTTTCTGAATATGTGCTTTTTGTATCATTTATATGTATTATGGATTAATTTAAATTTTAAAGGTCCGCCGAATACGCGACAAAATATAAAATATTTGTAATTATTATTATTTAATTTATACAATTTATTTTATTACGAAACAATATCAACACAAAAATATTCAGACATTTAAAACTCGCCATGTGGTGGCATTATAGGAGAATTATAGGAGAATTGTTGTAGGTGGCGACATCTATGGTAAATATCAGAAAAATTGTATAGCGTCTGAAAAATCGCGTTATAACCATCTCTAACGAAGACCGTGTAGTACATATGCACATATATGTCAATGTGGGTGTCGTAAGAGGCGACAGAGGGAAACTAAAACAAAAGTGTGGGTATCTGCACGTTCCTGCTTACAATTCAAAATAATAAAAAACTGCTTTTGACAACCCACTCGCCAAGCGTGTCAACTATGGCAAAATCCTCTATGAGCTTGAAGATGAGATGACTGATGAGAGATGATAATAAGAAGCTTAAAGAAAACACAACAATGTGGATGTGTGCTACTACTACTGAGATGGCCGAGATCGGTACATTTTTAGGGTTCCGTAGCCAAATGGCAAAAAACGGAACCCTTATAGATTCGTCATGTCTGTCTGTCTGTCTGTCCGTCCGTATGTCACAGCCACTTTTTTCCGAAACTATAAGAACTATGATGTTAAAGCTTGGTGGGTAGGTGTATTCTGTGAAACGTATTAAGATTTTTACACAAATGTAGAAAAAGAGCAATACATTTTGGAGGTTGCCCATACTTAGAACTGAAACTCAAATTTTTTTATCATCTAACCCATACGTATGGGGCGCATCTATGGATAGGTCTTCAAAAATGATATTGAGGTTTCTAGTATCATTTTTTCTAAACTGAATAGTTTGCGCGAGATACACTTCCAAAGTGGTAAAATGTGTGTCCCCCCCTCCCCCTGTAACATCTAAAATAAGAGAATGATAAAACTAAAAAAATATATGTGAATATTACCATGTAAACTTCTACAAAAATTGGTTTGAACGAGATCTGGTAAGTAGTTTTTTTCATACGTCATAAATCGTAAAAAAGAAACAATATTATTAAAACATCGATCAAAGTTACAACGAACTATGAGGACTTTTATATTATATTACTTGCTGCTACGGCTGCGGCTACGGCTAACCCTTTATGGGCGAGTCCGCCTCGTACTTACGTTTTATCGGTGTTTTTGTGGGCACAAAAGGTATTTATAAAAAATATCATTGGGTAGAATCACCAATTTTTAATAGTTCTACGTACATAACTGTGGAAATGACTGGTGACAAAATCATTACCGGTAAATGAAAAACCTTCGAGCCTCAACTCTTGAGCGACGTACAAATGACAGTGTGAAAACCATAATTCTCTCAAATTAACGCCATAATATGGCAGGCATGTTTGGCACTGTGCTTTATTGATGGCCATACTATAAGCCAACTTGACTGGGAATTGTAATCGTTTAAAATTGAAAGGTAATCCAGTTGATATTAAAGGTGCTCGCGGCAAAAATACCGCTTGTCCTTTTTCTTTACCCTTTATTTTACAGGCCTCGATGATGTTATTCTTTAGTTGTGATGTGTTGTAATGCATTTTTAAACGTGGTAGATCCATGCTGCAGTAGTGTAGTGTGCCTTAGACGGGCCCTGAATCAAAATATAATAATAATAATGCCTCTAAATGATAATGCCTCTCGAAAATCGACCGCGACTTCCCGCATATCCCTAAGCAAGCGGAATCGGTCTGATGTGAGGGCTCTTAACCCAATGCTGGTAACCTATTTGAAATCCAGCCGGGACCTTTGCGAGACGGACTCAGTTCTTTTTGGCGCCGCAGTGGCAGTTTGTCGTATTATTGGCGCCAAACTTCCCACGGCTGGAAGCTCTACTAAACAAAGTAGCGCCATCCCAGCCTGGAGAAAAAGAATTGAGGACCGCATCGCAAACGCAAGGGACAAATATCAGTTTTTCCCAGCCGGATATCACGCAGAAACTAACGGAGCGCACAGACGACCTGAAGCAGAACATTGCTGCTTGGGGGAAGCGGATTCGATGATTTACCGAGAGGTCAAGGCGGTTCAACCAGAATCATCTCTTCCAGAGTGATCAGAAGAGGCTCTGTAAATCATTGGAGTGACCAGAGATATGTGGAACGGGCTCAAGCCCGGATCAGGCTAACACTGTCGCATTTTGGCGTGGCCTGTGGTCAGAACCCGTAAACCACAGCGAATGCCCTTGGATAGAAGATGTGGCGAGCCAGAGTGCGAGTGTTACGCCTATTACGCCTATCACCATAACGCCGGAAGACGTGGCTGAGGCGGTCCGTAGGGCCCCGAACTGGAAAAGTCCGTGGCTCGACGGGCTGCATCATTAGTGACCAGAAGTCGCTCCCGAGCCTCTTCACTACTAGGATCACTCACTTGGTTCCTAAGGATCAGGATACCACAGACCCGAGCAAATACCGCCCCATCACGTGTCTACCCACCATATATAAGACATTGACATCCATTTTGAGCGCGAGAATCACTCGTCACCTGTAACTAAACCAGGTGATGTCACGCGCTCAAAATGGATGTCGGGGTGGTGGTCGTGGAACCAAGGAACCACTCCTCATTGACGCGGTCATTGGCAAAGTGGTGAAACGCAACCGTCGGAACTTCTCCTCCGCCTGAGTAGACTACAGTAAGGCGTTCGACTCGGTGCCCCACACATGGCTAAAGAGTGTCTTCGAGCTGTGCAAGATTGACTGTACAGTTAGAGACTTCGGAGCGGAGACCAAACGACAGAGGGTTAAGGAGAAAGGGAAAGAAACCGGTGGAAAATGCGAGCGGTATCGAGGAATACCGCCCTCTGCATTTGAGCACGGAGCGGTCCGTCACGGAGTCCCAGTCGCCTCAGACGACCCGAGAGGCTGACTGGGATAACCCCGTTTGCAGAAACGACTACAGGTATAATTGCGGTCGACAGCCTACCCCACATGCCGGTCATCTCGTGAGCCAGGTTTAGTGTTATATTCACCCCGGACAAAAGGCTGTTAAGCACTTTGGTCAAGCGTGCATAAAAAACGTTGCAAACTGACTGTTTCATACCAGCCTCCTCGATACCGATGTTCTGTGACATACCCAAGTATCGGTATGTTTCGGCCTCGGAAAGGGTCCTTAAGTTTACGGGCATAGATAAGTCTATGCCCTCAGAGTTGCAACCCTTCTCCCTTCAACATGGCGGAGCGCACACTTATCCGTTCCCAGCTCCACTCTTACAAAATTGCTAAATTCACAAGTGATATTTAGCAATTCCACAAGGAGCGACTGGAGCCGAATAACTTTAGGTCATTCATGTAGAAAAGGTGGGTCACTTTTGTACCTCCTTTCCGAAGCTGAAATCCCCTCCCGGAGCCCTCCAGTAAAGTATTGAGAGGGTTCAAAGAGAGGCAGAACCAAATTGGACTCAGACAATCGCCTTGGAAGACACCCCTTCTTATCCTTATGCGGATTTACGCAGCCGTCATTAGATCTAGGTAAGCACTAGATGACAAAGGATCATACTCCACGACTCCATATATTGCTCGAGGAAGTCTCTAACTTTACAGGCAATCTTGTACAGCTCGAGGACCCTCTTTACCCATGTATAGGGAACCGAGTCGAATGCCTTTCTGTAGTCTATACAGGCGACGGAGAAGATCCGACGGTTGCGTTTTACCACTTTGCCAATAACCGCGTCAATGAGGAGTGATTCCTGTATTCCATGACCACAACCCCGACATCCATTTATTATTAAGATTTGAGTCCAAGTGACGAGTGATTCTCGCGCTCAAAATGAATGTAAGTGTCTTGTATATGGTCGGTAGACACGTGATAGGGCGGTATTTGATTGGGTTTCTGGTTACCTGATCTTTAGGAATCAAATGAGTGACCCCAGTAGTGAAGAGGCTAGGGAGCGACTTCTGGTTAAGAGCCTCTTGAAACTGTCGGGCAAGCACAGGGTGACACACCACGAACACCTTCAGCCAGTAGTGATGCAGCCCGTTGGGTCCCGGACTTTTCCAGTTCGGGGCTCTACGGACCGCCTCAGCTACGTCATCTGGCGTAATGATGACGGGGTCCATGGGCGTAATACTCGCACACTGACTCGCCACAACTTCCGCTCAAGGACTCTCGCTGTTGTATACGGGCTCTGAAAATGGCTAACATGTCCAGTAAAAACTGAAGATTCGAGAGGACTTTTCATTTTTTTGAACTATTCTCCAATTTTGATGGTATATTGCGTAGCCAGTACAACCTTTTGATTTTATCTGAGAAGCATCTGTAAAAATATAATGACAATCTGGGAAATTCTCATCAAACGTAAATACAATTTTTTTATTTGATTCAATAGGAAATTTATTTAATCCTATATCTAATATAACATAGGGTTTGAAAAGTGCAACTTCAAACGAATTAGAGAAAAGAGACAGAGTCACCGACCTATAAATAAGATCTAGTAAGGAATCATATTGTTTGTGGCTTTTAACTAGGTTAGGTGTTTTCCTTATTACGCCAGTATTTTCCTGAATTAATTGAAATGTACTGAGAAATCAAACGAATTTTAGGGATTAGTGGATGGTTGGAAAATTGAAGAACCCTATAAAAAAAAGGAATCCGATAAATATTGTCGTCTAATAAAAAGTGGAGGATCACCGCATTCAATCTGCAAGGAATTGATAGGCGACGAATTCATAGCGCCTATAATTAATCTTAAAGACTTGTGTTGAAAGATATCTAATATTTTTAATCCTTTTTTATTAGCAGGTTCCAGAAGAAATGAGGCATAATCTAATCGACTTCTTATAATTGAATTATAAATTATTTTTAAAGAATATGGATGAGCTCCCCACCATACCCCATTTTTATCGCATTTTTTTTGAATAAATGATATGAGGCATGCCGGATAATTTATTATCAAGAATTACACCAAGGAATTAAACTTGCTGAATATTTACGAGCGCATAATTTAAAAAGGCGCACCTGTATTTCAGGAAAAACTCTTTTGCGGGAGAAAAATACTGTCTTACCTTTATTTGGGGAAAGTTTTAGTCCATGATCATCTAACCACGAGGCTATAGAGAAGATATATTGCTCTATTGCATTAGCACAGGATTCTATACATTTATTATTAACATAAACTAAGATATCATCAGCGTATCGTAAAATTCTACATTTTGAAATGGACTAGTCTAAATCTGACGTATAAATATTGTATAATAAAAGACTTAAAACAGAGCCCTGCGGAAGGCCTTTGAAAATCTTTCGAGTATATTTTAGATCATCATCAATTTTAATATGTGTATGTAAAGCGATCTAGAAATAAATTGAAAATCAAATTTGTAAGTTTTTTGGATATATTAAGCTTAAACATCTTTTCTCTAAAGATGTTAAGTTTGACATTATCGTAAGCAGAAGAAATGTCAAGGAAAGCAACAAGGACCGATTCATTTCTCGAAAATGCTAGTCTAATATCTGTGGTGAAGATTAAAAGACTGTCGTATGTGCTTTTACCTTTTCTGAATCCATATTGAGTATTTGGTAACAATCCATGACTTTCTACATACGATTCAAGACGGTGTGCTAGCGGCGCTGTCGTCGCGCCACTAGCACACCGAGACACCACCAAAGCCTAAATCGCGCTATTAACATTCCGAATCATAGACAGTATATATAGAACTTCTCCGAACTATCACTCGGAGTGTTGGCCGCTCCCCGGGCAGAACACCTTGCCCGGCGGGAGATCTCCCCTTTTCCTACTCCGGCCACAGTGGTGACCCCGACGTGATCTGAACACGCAAACAAACAACCTTCGGAAACTTCAAGCTTCATCATAGTCATAGAATACCCCACCCACTCGGTCCCGAGTAGATATCGTCTGCAGTCTTCATATCCTGCAAGCCATCTAGCTTCACAAGGCTCATCGCAGCACTGGAATAATAATGCTTCCTGTTCCTTCAAGCTACTCTCTGCGCTATACAGTGTTCAGCACGGCTCTGAGCCTTACTGCTCGTCTCTGCTTCACGGCACTCTCGCAGATTACCTGCCTTCTTCTCGACTCACCGCAGACTACAAGGCACTCTCCTGGTACTTGCACATTCGTCGACAACGAGACTGCACTATCGACCTCCGGTCTGAGCAGGGGGGTGATGTAGCGGCGCTGTCGTCGCGCCACTAGCACACCGAGACACACCAAAGCCTAAATCGCGCTATTAACATTCCGAATCATAGACAGTATATATAGAAATTCTCCGAACTATCACTCGGAGTGTTGGCCGCTCCCCCGGGCAGAACACCTTGCCCGGCGGGAAATCTCCCCTTTTCCTACTCCGGCCACATGGTCATGTGTTCAAAGGTTTTAATATATATATATATATTGAATTTTATCAAAAGCAGCGCAGCCGTTTAAGCGTGAAAAGGTAACAGACAGACAGGCAGAGTTAATTTCACATTTATCATATTAGTATGGATTTTAGTCAGTCAGTAAATAATAAGTCCTACCCGCATTATAGTAATATATTAGTCGTTTTTGCTGTCGGTAAGTTTTCATATTTTTCAAATATTTGACAATGCTATGTCATCTCTGTCGATCAACCCGTTATTTCTCCTTCGTTTGACATACCTAAACTTCAAATGTTTCAGTATTTTTTTCAACGATGTCAAGCCTAGTTTTAGTAAGGATTCGTCTGTATTTATGACATGTAGCACCTTTTTTGCTGTAGGTAACTCTCCTTTTAAATAAAAGCTGTGTACTATTCGTTTAATGCACGATTTATTGAATCCATCAATCATTTCAATTAATGAGAGTCGTTTTTTCGGTGATGCAGCTGGCTTGACGGTGTCTGTTACGGTATATTCTTCTAAAGTACGATATATGGCCGATTTCGAAATGCCCAAGATATTGGCTGTTTTGTCCTTCATTTCTTTTTTGAAGGATATTTTTCAGCAGGTCAGGATTCTTGTATTTAAACACGTAAACAATCATTACCTTCAGATACACTGAAGTGTGACATTTTTTTGAGAAACAAACTCCTTGAATGGATGCGAGGTATACGACGCTGGTTCCATTATAAAACAGTGAAGAAA